TGAGGCAGCGGCAGAAACGCAGGAAGCTGGAATGTGCGGCTTTATTCGGTGCTGCCGTCTCCGCTACATTCAAAACTCGAAGAGGTGCGTAAACTAGCAGTATATTGTGTTTTTCCGCTTGACTTGCACTTCGCAACGACACAAGCTTGTTTCTGGCATGTTTTCTGCAAAAAAACGTCTGACGTGTTTACGTTTTACATGGCGTGAGGGCGTGAAAAAGCTACGCTAAATCCGATCTGACCGGTCAGATTGAAACGGATTTCCAGGAATGCGATTTGAATAGGATTACAAACCACATATGAATGTAGCTCGAAACGGATTTGCAAAAATTGGATTTCATGTAGTTCGTTGCTGTTTAGACTATCTAAATATGATCGGATTTCAATCGGATTTGCACAAAAATCGGATTTGGGCTGACAGTCTGAACGAGGCTTTGGATAAATAGGTTACAGAATATCTGTTCTCTTATTTTCTTGTCACATTTACTGAATTCTAGGAGCGATCTTTTTCTCTGAAGAAAGCAACAACCCCTCGCCGAACACCAGCAAAACCACTGAAAGACGCTCCAGACTCCAGTGCAGCACCGACAGATGTAGACACTCACACACCAAAGCCAGCTAACATGTGTCCAGACCCCAGCGCTCCTCCTGTACAGACGGCAAGCAAAGAGTTTGAGGACGAGCCATCAGATCCCTTTCCATCCATAACCCCCTCCAAATCCTGGTCTCCAGCTGTGGGCTCTGCACACAAGAGCTTGGAGAAGGTCCAGTTTCTAAAGCAGTCCATGACCAAGAGGTTTTCCTCTGTGGACACGGACTGGCTTGCACGCTGCCAGGTTTTCGATGAGGTGGAAGAACCTCAGAAACCTGTTGCTGGGAATTCAGAGCTGTCACAAATCGAAAACAGTGTCTTACAACCTACTGTTAAAAGCGAAACTGCGTCAAATGAGGGTCAGACATCTCCTAAGGCTTCACTGGAGAAGAAGAAATCTTCCTTGTCAGAGGATGGTGTACAGAAAGGTCCAGTAGTATCTTTAGTAAGGAACAATGTGGTGGATGCAGAATTGGGCTCCCCGGGGCCTGATGGTGAACAGGTATATCAAAAAAACACTGCGGCTCTCATGAGAGATGACGAGGCCTGTTCAGAGGAGCCTAAATCTGCTTCAAACGCTAAGAAACGCAAACCCAGGGCTAGAAAAGATCAAGACTCAGGTGACCGAGCACAGGCCGAAGGTGGCAAAAAGACCAAAGGTCGAAAAAGACAGAGGGAGGGTGATGATGATGACGTGCACGAATCTGAGGAGCAGGAAGGTGGAGTGAAAAAGAGAAGGAGAACTAAGAAAGGAGAGGCAGCTGGAGAGGATCAGCCCAAAAAAGGAGGAAAGAGGAAAGGAAAAGTCG